CTATTTTCCCTGGAGCATTGGAGGCTGAGGGAATGACCTTATAGAAGCTTGTAAAATCATGAGAGGCATGGATAGGGTGAATAGCCAAGGTCTTTTTTTCCCCAGGGTAAGGGAGTCCAGAACTACAGGGCATACAATTAAGTTGAGAGGGGAAAAATTTAAAAGGGACCTAAGGGACAACTTTTTCATGCAGAGGGTGGTGCGTGTACAGAATGCCAGAGGAAGTGGTGGAGGCTGGTACAATTACAACATTTAAAAGGCATCTAGATGTGTGTATGAATAGGAAGGATTTAGCGGGATATAGACCAAATGCTAGCAAATGGGACTAGATTAATTTAGGAAACCTGGTCAGCATGGACGAGTTGGACCAAAGGGTCTGTTTCCTTGCTGTACAGCTCTATGATTCTTTATCTATGATAGACTAATTGGCCTGTAATTTCCTGTTACCTGTCTTCCTCCTTTCATGAATATAGGGGTCATATTTGCTATATACCAAAGTGATGGGATCTTTCTGGAATCTAGAGATATTTGGAAAATTACAACCAATCCATCTATTATAATAGCAAATACTTCTTTTAAGGGCCTAGGATGAAACCAATCATGTCCTGTAGACTGATCAGCTTTAGTTCTCCCAATTTCATGCTAACCTTTCCTAGGAGACTATAATTGTTTTAGGTTCCTCCCTCATTTTCACCTCTTGATTTACAAGTAATTCTGGAATTTTTTTATGTCTTCTAAAGAGAAGATGGACACACAATATATGTTCAACGCATCTGCCATTTCCTAATTTCTGTTATTAATTTGTCAAATCACTTGCTAGTTGATTAATAGTCATTTTAGTTACTCTCTTTTATTTTAAATACCTGTAGAAACTCTTAGCTATTTTTCATATTTCTTGTTAACTTTCTCATGCTCTTTATTTTCTCCCACTTTTTGGTCATATTTTCTCTTTAAATTTGATAGTATCTTTAACCTCCTTAGTTAGGAAATGATGCATGCTTCTCAAGTCTTTCTCACAGGATTGTAGCGTTTGTGGATGTTATGAAACATCTCCTTAAATGGCTCTCTCCCTTAACCTGATTTCTCAGTTCACTTTAGCAAACTTTGTTAGCATACCTTTGTAATTGCCTTTAAGTTTGAAACCTTTAGTCTTTTATCCACTCCTCTCTCCCTCAAGGTGAATGTAAAATTCTATCATGTTGGGATCATTGTTACCAAGTGGCTCTTTAGCTATGAGGTTATTAAGAAGAGTCATATCAAACTCAAAATGTTAACTCTTTCTCCCGCCACAGATGCTGCTGAGTTTCTCCAGCACTTTCTTTTTATTTCAGATTTTCATCATTCGCAGTACTTTGCTTTTATTAATTAATTCTGTCCCGTTGCACATTACCGGGTCTAGAGAAGCCTGCTGTCTGGCTCCAGAATATGCTCCAAAATTGTCCCAAAACATGCCTACCTCATCTTCTAGATTACCTTTGATAATCTGAGTTGTTCAATCAATATATAAAATAAAATAAGCTATTATTACTGTCATAACAAACACAAAATGCTGAAGAAACTCATCAACCTCTTTTGTCTGGCCGAGCTTGTTGTCATTTTGAACAACTTCTCATTTAACTCATCTCATTTTCTCCAAATTAAAGATGTGGCAATGAATACACACATGGGTCCCAATTCTGCCTGTCTCTTTGTGAGATATATGGAACATTCTTTGCTTCAGTTTTAGACAAGCCCACACTCACAACTCTTTCTCTGATACATTGGTGATGCCTTCGGTGCTGCCTCCTGCTTTTCTCCAGATTTGGAAGAATAAATTAGTTTTGCTTTGAATTTCCATCCTTCTTTCACCTTCACCTGGTCTATTTTTGACTCTTCCCTTCCCTTCCTTGATTTCAATATTTCCATTTCTGAGGATAGGCTGTCCACCAATATCCATTACAACTCCCCTGCAGTTACCTTGACTACACTTCCTCACACCCTGCTTCCTGCAAGGATTCCTTTCCATTCTCCCAGTTTCCCCATCTCCGTTGCATCTATTTTGATGATGCCATCTTCCACCAGGCTGCCTCTGAAATGATTTCCTTTTTTCTCAATTGAGCGTTCCCTCCATTGTGGTTGACAGGGCCTTGAACTGTGTCTGACCCATCTCCCATCATTCTGCTCTCATCCCTTCCCCTCTTCCCAGAACAATGATAGTGTTTCCCCTGTCCTTACTTTCCACCCCACTAGTCTCCCCTGCTATTTTAGCCACCACCATACACATCTTCCTCTTCCATCCATTGTCAGTATTTTGCAGGGACTGTTCCTTCCATGACTCCCTGGTCTGCCTTCCATCACTTCTAACACTTCCTCACTCCCCCATGGCACCTTGCCATGCAATCGCAAAGGCATAATACTTGCCCATTCACCTTCTCCCTGTCCAAGGTCCCAAATACACCTTCCAGATGAAGCAGCGTTTTATTTGTCCTTCTTTCAATCTAGTCTACAGTGTTCACTACTGATAACGTGCTTTCCTTTACATTGGCGGGACCAAATGCAGACTGGGTGACTGTTTTGCAGAACGCCTCCACTCTGTCCATTGGGATGACCCTGACCTCTCCATTGCTGGCCTTTACAATAAACCACCTTGTTCTCATGCTAACATTTCTGTCCTGGGCTTGCTGCAATGTTTCAAATAAGCATAACATAAGCTCGAGGAACAACACCATTTTCACGCTCATGGACTTTGCAGGTCTCAGTATTGAACTTAATAACTGCTCACATAACGTCTGTTCTCCATTTTTCTTACATTATCTCCCCCCCGCCACACCCCAACCCCCAGGCCTCCTCTGTGCCTTGTTTACATTACATTTAGTTGAGAAGACCAATTCTCTCCACACTTTAATTTACACCCATTTTATATCTTTTTACTTTTCTTCACCATTAACAACCCCTTTGTCTTTTGCACTGAGTGAACTCCTCTATCAAACGTATACGAAAAAAGCATTTTCCAACACCTTTCAGTTCTAAAGAAATCATACGGTCTGGAAACACAATCTTTGTTTTTCACTCTGTAGATGCTGCCAGACCTGCTGAGTTCCTCCAGCAACCTCTGTGTTTGTTTTAGATTTCCAGCAATGCAGATATTTTGCTTTCTTCTGAATGATCACTGCTATGGCTTTCTCATATGTCCCTGATATTTCTTCCTGTATGCTCTACCCTCTACTGTAGTTACTATTTTTATCTCTTCTCTAAGGGTTATGAATTGAAACTGCACTTCAGGATCTGTGTGTATAACTTAGACTGGTGTTCTACGGATCATGTTTCTGGTTTGTGTTCATAATCTAATGTACAACTATTCAAAGCGACCAGGGTCACATATCCTCAAGCAAGATTGCTGGACACATTAACTGGTAATTTGTGTTATTCCCGTTTGTGAGGTCTTGCTATGTGGCATTTTTTAAACATTATTTTATTTTAAAGAAACACAGTCACTTGTCGGTAAATGCTACAGTTATTTGGTACACGTGCCACAATGACCCACTTGTTCAAAGACTGAATGAGGAAGAAAAGTTGGACGAGGAACCATCGAACTGTGAATGCTGGAGAAACTCAGCAGGCCTGGTAGCTTCTGTGAAGAGAGAAACGGAGTTCACGTTTCGAGTCCAGTATGATTCTCCTTCAGAACCAGCAGAATTCTATATTCGCCTTCTTCAAATACTGTCACTGTATCTCGACAGAGCTTCAGTTTCATATTCCAGCTGCAGGTTAGCGCTACCTAGTAGCGTATGTGGAGGTGCCGGTGTTGGACTGGGGTAGACAGAATCAGAGGTTACATGACCTTAGGTAATAGTCCAACAGGTTTATTTGAAATCACAAGCTTTCGGAATCACTTCACCTAATGAAGGAGCAGCGCTTAGAAAGCTTGTGATTTCAAATAAACCTGCCGGACTGTAGCCTGGTGTGTGACATCTGAACTCGTGCACTATTATCTTAGCGCAGGAGGTGGCAGAACAATTATTAAGGTAGCACAAGCTGATACAAGTCTTTCTCTGAAATGAAAGTCGTGATACTGTGTTTTGTAAGCTTCAAGTTTATAATACATATAATCCATGGAGATAAGTAGGCCTGTCTACCCAGTAATTTATCTGTCTCCCCAGTGAGTTAGAACTTTAGAATCGAATTATATTTAGGGATGATTGTAAATATATATTGACTGCGGCCCTTAGTAGCACCCTCCAATTTTCCTGTTCCTTCTTGTGTTAAGGTATTTGGCCTTCATGTGATTACTCCCAGTTATTCTAGGCTATGGGAATTTAATAAAGGGGTGGAAATGCTCTCCACTGTGCCAGGGTTGCGTGTGTTTGTTGCTTATTCTGTTTTACACCCGTCTTCCCTTTACCGTACAAACTATTCTCATAGGACACCTGTCCGACTTTCTGGTAAACGGGCTGTTGCAATTTATGTTGGCTCCTAGCTGGATTAACTTCACAACTGCACATTTTACAGTGAGGGAAATGGATAGCCAACTCTACAGAAAGGACTGAGCCGATCAAGGCCAACCCAGTAATTTGGTGCCTAATCCCTTGTGGGCACTATCCTTGCAATCTTCACCCTGCATTAAACACAGGCGACGGTGCTACTCACCAGCCCTCCGATCTGGTCTGATCTGAATGGCGATGCGTCTTTTCTGGGAACCTGAAACAAGATAAAGCTGCAGGATCATACTGTAAATCTCCACCTACTGCATTACGGTTATTTCTTTTCCTTCCACCCCCCCATCCCCACGGAAAAGATGGGAAGAGCCCTCCGCTGCATTTCCAGTCACAGAGGGCTCTAGCCGCGTCTAAAAGCCCCTTCTAACCGTGCGCTGAAGCTTGTCGGCTGGCCCTCTGACAGCCACTGGAGTGTGGTCTTGGCGAAGTGGGAGGAGACCTCCCGCCCCCTGTGTGAATGACACACAGGAATCCCGCCCAAACCTGGCCCCTGGCTGCTTGAATGTGGGGAGAAAGGAAAGAGAGAGAGAGAGAGACAGGAGGCCGAAAGCAGCTCGGCTGGGCTGCAGAGAGACTGCGGCGGTGTCTCCTTGGAAGCTGAGCTTTCCTCCCGGGGGATGAGGAGCCGGCCGTGACCCGGCGTCGGGAAAAGGAGGTGGGAACAGCGGCGAGGCAAACATGCTGCAGCGGAAAACAGGCGGTGGGGCTGGGGAGACGATTCCCAAACACCTCCAGCGGAAGATCTGCATCGCTTGCAAAAACGACTCGCCCGGGATGTATATTTTTCTCCCTCTATTTTAAAGCAAAGAAAAAGGAAGGAGGGAGGGAGTGTGTGTGTGTGGAGAAAGTAAAACCAAGACGGAGCATTAGAATTAGAAACCCAGTCTGAAGGCTGCGGGAAGAGGGACCGAACCCTGTTAGCAGCCGCATTGAGTGCTGCTGGAGACGGAAAGACTTCCTGCGTCTTCCTGAGACTGCTGGGCTGCTCGGGATGACTGGATTGAGCACATCTTTCTCCCTGAGGTAAGTAATCGCTCCACTCCAACTCCATCCCTCATTCCCGGTCTGTCGGTGAATCCGATGCAGGATCTGAGGCCGGAGTTTCCTCGTCTCCTGGTCCTGGGGGAGTCTCTCTGGGATAGTCCCCGGGCCTGGGATCGGAGACTGGAGAGAAACTTGCAACAGATCGCCGTCCCAAACCAGAGCGACCGGCATTCTGCAATTATCAATATGGTTTATATATATATATATATAAATAATATTTAATCACATGTGTTTTTGCACCAGTTCTGGTGTGAAAGGGTTTTTGTCCAGGTATTTTTGTGGATCCCATCTGTATCACTCCTCCCTCCAGTGGCATTCGGGTGATGCTCACCTGTTTTTCCGAAAGGAAAGATGTGTTTTTATTTGGCTCGCCTGTGTTAGCCCACCTTTGTGGCTCCGCCTCATCCCGGAGCGGGGTTTGGTTGGGTTGGGGGACGGGGTGGGGAGCCTGGTTGTATCCAGACAATGCGACATTGGTTTGGAGCAATCCCCCCCCGCAGCGGCTCCTCCGTCACATCACCTCACAGCTGTTTACACAGACCGCCACGTTGTCGCGCTGCTGCCGGGGCTTCGGGGGAGGTGGCGGAAAGGATGAAGGGGTTGTCACGCCGCTGGGGAGGTAAAACGGTCTCCCGTCGAGTTGGTAAATAATCCACCGGCTTCACTCGCCCTCAGGGACTCTCTCTCCACGCGCCCTCATTGGTCGCCTCGGGTAGACCCGTGTCTAAACACTAATAATAACATCTTTCTGATTTAGTGGTGGAGGTTCCCCTTGGGTTATGTTGCTTCATCTGGCAATCGTCAATAGTCAATCGTCCCGTCTCCACAAACTTTGACAGGGTTGAGCACACCATCCTGTGACAGGTTTTCTTGCAGCAACACTGACCCGCTGCCGTCCTTAAGCCTGGCAAGTAAAATCACCTGCAATGCCTTCTGTTTCCTTGCACTGCGACATTACCTCTGGTGCCCCCCAAGAAATAATCTTTTATCTCCTCCTGTTTCTACGACATTCTGTACCTTGACGACATTACACATCAGTCTTTGCTTCTATTGCTAGCAACACTCGTCTCTATCAGTTTTCTCAAATACTCTTGCATTTTTAGATTGCCTGTTCAACATTGAGAGCTGGATGGGCAGAAATTTCCTTCAATTAACTATGAAACCACCTCTTGCTTGGAACTCTGTTCCCTAGCTACCAACTCCATCTTTAGCCTGACAGCTATTCAAGGCTGAAGCAGACTGATCAGAAATACTTGATTTTGGCATGAGCTCCCAACCCACATACCTGCACCCTCCCTAAGATTGCCAATTCTTACTTCTAACGATGCCCAACTCCATCTCTGCCTCGGCTAATCTCTTGCCAAACATTTTATCACCAGATACTGGAATGCCTCAACTTGGCTAATGCTGAAACCCTCATCCATGCCTTTGTTATCTCTACACTTAACTACTAATTCTTGGCAAGCCTCCCACATTCTACCCTCTGTAAACTCAAAGTCATTCAAATCTCTGCTGTCTGTGTCCTATCAAATTTCTTTCACTCCTCATTCCTTTGATTGCTGCTTCTGGTTAAGCAGCACCTCATATTTTAGGATTCTTCTTAACCTTGTTTTCAAATCTCTCCATGACTTTGACTTTCACTGTCTAATTTCTTCTCACGCTGGGATAGCTGAACTCATGGCCTGTTGAGCATCCCCAATTTTAATTGTTTCAAAGTTGGGGACCATACCATGCTTCAAACATAAAATCTGGAATTCCCGATCTAAATCCCTGTGACACGCCTTAGAATTTACCTCTTTGATAATCATTCCTAACGTCTCAATCACTAATGACTCAGTCACCCCTATGACTCAGTGTCAAATTTGAGCCGGTGGTTAGCACTGCTGCCTCACAATGCCATGGACCTTGGTTTGATTCCAGCCGCGGGCAACTGTGTGGAGTTTGCATGTTATCCCTGTTTCTGCTGGATGCTCTGGTTTCCTCCCACAGTCAACAGATGTGCAGGTTAGGTGGCCTGGCCATACTAAATTGCTCTATAGTGACAAGGGATGGGCTGGCTAGGTGGATTAACAATGGGGGATGGTGTGTCTGAGTGGGATGCTGTTCGGAGGGTCGGCGCAGACTCGATGGGCCAAATAGCCTCTGTCTGCACAGTAGGGATTCTATAAAATTTTTGCTTTAGTGAAGAATTTTAGGACATTTTACTATATTAAAGGTACTACGTAAATGCAAGTTTAGTTTGATTGGACCATTAGTTTATTATGTTGGCAGTGCACTTAAATGGGCTGTTGTGGTGCTGTCCAGTGAAAGAGAAACAGAATGTGCTGCAACGACTTAACTGGTCAAGCAGCTTTTGTGGACAGTGATGTGACCCTGTTACGTTTAAAAGAATTAGATTCCCAGTGACGGTCTGAAAGGGATTGCACAAGATATAATGTTTCAAAACTTTTACTGGAACAAACAAACTAAAATCAACATTGATCAAATATTACTTAGGCAACTAATACTCTGAACTGCAGACAGACCACCCTTTATTTCCATTTTAATATACTGAAAAATCCCATGCCAGAGTTATACTTGCAGCACCCTCTCCATAGAATCTTAATTCTTTTGTACAGGAAACGTAAGAACAGGAGTAGGTCACTCAGCCCATCGAGTCTGCACTGCCTTTTAATATGACTGATCGAACATTTCCGTGTCTTTTACCCACGTTATCCCCAAACCATTTGTGCCATTCAGAAGCAAAAAAATGATCAACTTCTACTTTAATGATACTCAAAGTCTAAGCTTCCACAGCCGTCTGGGGCGGATTCATCACCCTGAGTAATGGAACATTGTCCTTATCTTGGCCCTAAATGGCATCACTCTTATTTTTATTTTGTGTTCCCTGGTTCAAGACTCCCCAACCAAAGAAAGCCTCTTACTTGCATCTACCCTGTCAATCCCTTTGAGTATTTTGTAGGATTTCAGTAAGATCTCTTACTCTTCGAAACTCTAGAGAAGACCAGTCCAGTTTGCCCAATCTCTCGTCATAAGACAAACCTGCCATCTTGGTAGCAAGTTTGATGAATCTTTGTGGCACTCCATCTATGGCATAGATAAAGGAGACCGAAGTTGGACGCAGTGCTCCAGGTGTGATCTAACCAAGCTCCTATATAATTGAAGCAAGACTTTACTACTCCTGGACTGAAATGCTCTTGAGACGAAGGCTCATATTCCATTTGGCTTCTTAACAGCTTGCTGCATCTGCATCTTAGCCTTCAGTGATTTATTTAGAAAGACACCCTTCACACATCTATACCTCCAACCCTCTTACCATTCAAGAAATAGCCTGCACAACTGTTCTTCTGTCCAAAACCTCTCCCTCTCCTTAAGGACAGGGTTGTGCTTAGCTGTGATGTAAATTACAGTTGATCCTGTCTCTTGTTGTCATCAATTTTACTTAATCATCATAGTACAGCAAAAGTAAGTTTCTGCATGACAGGATTGAAGAAGAAAATTATGTAAGCAGTGGAGTGAGAATACTGCACAAAATGAAACATGAAAATGGTTAAACAAAGCCTTCAGTAAAGGCAGTACTCTGGATAAGAAATACTCTGATTTAAACATCTGTTAAAAGCTCATAATGTTGAAATCTACAAAACAAAATACTTCAAATCCCAAGAAAATTAATTTACATACTTTTAACATTTGCAAACTGCCATTGCTCAAAAGGTTAGTTACCTGGTGGCAAGATTATTCACTGGTACAATTCAAATTAATTTTTTTGTCTGACAGTAATAGACTTGACATCGACATTCTGTTTTAATATTACTGACCTTATATGATGCATTAGTTGACCGTCAACTTGCTTGGCAATTGCCAGTTCTGTCCAGATCTAGAAATTGGCTGGCATTCCTTTTGTTATTGATTTAAAGCACAGAGATATGCTTAATATAACTCAGTGAGTGCAGTATGTTCTTCATATTGCTGATCAAAACTGAACATGACAAAGCAGTATTCTCATCTTTTGAATGCTGTTTCTTCTCAAAGGGATGACCACATTTTTAACTACTAGCCTTAACTGTTCATTCTTTGGGTTTTAATATTGTGATTTCTTTTCTGCAGAAGGATTGAGATGAAAAATATATATTCTCCATCACATTTAGCAGTATATTTTTCGTAAGTAGACTTAAGGCGTATGTAAACTGTTGTTCCATTGTGAAGTATTTTGCCTCCGAAGCGCAAGGATTGAGGGAGGCGATGGCCTAGTGGTATTATCGCTGGACTATTAATCCAGAGACCCAGATAATGTTCTGGGGACCTGGGTTCAAATCCTGCCATGGGCAGATGGTGGAATTTGAATTCAATAAAAATATCTGGAATTCAGACTGTAATGGTGACCATGATGTTAATTGTTGAAAAAACCCATCTGGTTCACTAATGTTCTTTAGGGAAGGGAACTGCCATCCTTACCTGGTCTGGCCTACATGTGATTTCAGACCCACAGCAATGTGGTTAACTCTCAACTGACCTTTGGGCAATTAGGGATGGGCAAAAAATGCTGCCTGGCCAGTTACACCCTCATCCTGTGAATGGATTTTTAAAAAAATTTTAGGTTTATGTCCAACATCAGGTCTTGACAATCTAAAATATCCTGTGGCACAATATCAAAGAAGAGCAGAGGAGTTATCCCTGGTGGCTTGTCCTATATTTATCAAAATCATAAACAGATTAACTGGTCAGGATCACATACTGTTTATTTGGCGTTTGCTGTATACAAGTTGACTGCTGTGTTTCCTAGATTACAGGTGATGGTATCTCATTGGCAACAGAATGCTTTGAAATATCTATGTTTGTGAAAAATACTATATAAGTGAAAGTCTTGTTTGTTTAAGATTTGTTTGTCTTAATTATGCTAAATATGCATGATTTCTTAAACACATGGATAAAACGTATATACACACACAGGTGTCCCTATACCGTAAACTGAAATCAGA